GTATCAGCCTGGTTCCTTCTGTTTACTTGTGTGGCCCTCGTGACTGTAGTGCTGCGGATTCATGGATTTTATTCTTGAAATGCCTATAAGAGCCTAAGATTCTTTTTGCATAACAGTTTACAATGTTTTTCCTGATTTTGACACTGTTTTCTGTAGAAATCCGTATAAAATTAAAAATAACTTTACTGTAAGACTGACAGATCTCCATTATTTTGAGAGTAAGTTTCTTCTGAGCAGACAAAGCCGCAGTGACTTTTGTCACTCCATAAGGGAATTGAAATTTCAATTCTGAAATGTATGTTCTGTCCCATCAGCAAGTATTTCTGTTTCATTAGTCATTCATTATTGTACTGAACACTACATTTGAGGCATGCATTTAAACTTTAAATCCTCTCTTTCCTTATGCACTATGTTTTGAAAGCTCTTTCTTCACCTTTGGGTATCTCTGAAACTGTATTTTGTTAGCGTTCCTATATTTTTGTAACTCACTTGAAAATGCTAAATAGAGCCAGCCCCAGACTAAGTCTTTGATTCCTCTGCTAACTTAGCTCTACTATATTGCCTACTTCAAGGCTAGCAGGATAGCTCAGCACCATCTTGCCTGGTTAACGTGCTACATTTTGTCCCATTTTCCCAAATTTTACAGAAAGTTACAGAATTGTGTTCACTTTTCAGCTTAATTTCAATCTGTTCCTAGTTAGTTTCTTTCTATTGTTTTTTTGGGGGGGTCTTTTAATAGATTCTTCTAGCCTTACTGAAAGTTTGACTTATTTTTTTTATTGTTTATTTTTTACTTTTTTCACTCCACAACTTTATGGTTAATATTGATTCTAGTCTGTTTTGGCTAGAGAGAATTAAGTCAATTAAAATATGGCAGCCCAATGCACAAAATAAATCCTAACTCATTTCCTAGGATGATGTGTGCTTATGGCTACAGACCAAGTTCTTTAAAAAGTAAACTGCCTTAGAAGCAGTTTTTGTTGATGAACAAGGACATGTTAATGTTTGAGAGTAAAAAACTCTTTATCCTGAACCTGTAAGAAGTGTCAATGTCTTGAAAGGAATAGAGCTGAAAAGGGGGACGTGGCTCCTCTCTTTGGTGGTGGCAGGATGTCCTACACACTCGTGCAGGGTTTGCATGAAGCCAAGAGGAGCTGGAGAAACCAGGAAAAGAGTTTGACCTGGAAAGGAGTTTCTAGAGAAGCAAACCCCAAGAAACCTCTCTCCTCTCTACAAGGATCCTACCTCTTCGTTTCCCTGCATATGTAAGATAGCTAGCAATTGCCCTACTTGAGGAGGAAAAACTGTTTATAAAATGAATATATAGGGGAGATGCCAGGAGCCCTCTAGAAAGAATGCCATCTTTTTGTGGCCTGTTTCTTGTTAGTGGGTGCACTAAGATTTGTTTGGCCACTTTTAGTTCCAAAGGTGGGGAAGCATTCATTATGTTGGTCTTGGAAAGAGGGCGGGAAGAGCCAATAAACTCGCTTCATACACTGGAACTGTAGGTTGTATGACTCGTCTTCTGTATGGAAACTGATAATGTTATTTTTTATTTTGTTATGAGCCTGGCACCTTTATGAAAAACAAAACCAAAAAGGAACCAATGCCTTGGTTTACTTTAATTGCATTCAGAGATTAGATTTAAAAAAAAACCAAACCAGCAAACAAACAACTACCCATATCCATTCCTCACTCCTCCTTTACTCAAAGGAAAAGGGCAAATACTCAGTTTTCCTTGACAGTGAATTGCAAATATGAGCAAACTCTGTCAAAGGGAAAATTATAAATGAACGCCTTTCTGTGCTATCTTCGCATTGAAGAGCTCAGATAATTTTACAGTTGCCGGTGACGACGGTTCTGAGCTGTTTTTTCCTGTAGAAGGCTGTGATGTCATCGTGTGACGTCAGTAACCCTTGCTTTCAGAAAGTTACCGAGCTACCAGGTGAAACGTTCTGATTTACCATGTGAGCACCTGATATCTTCCCCCACTTGTAAAAGGAAGCAGGTGTTAACACTCTGGTTTTATTACAGCTTTTTAAAGCTGTGCACATGTTTTACTTGAGCAAGTAGCTTTGGGCTGAATCAAATCTTCCTTTTGTTTTCTGCCTTTCCCCCCCCCACACTTTGATTTAATTCTCAGTGATGTATTCCTCTCTTAGTTTTATTAATTATGTTTGAACTTCTTTCATGTTGTTCTGTTGATCTTTCAGGCAATTGTAATTAGTTTGCACCAAAGTAAGAATCTTGTGGATTTCATATATACGTTATATAGTTTTTTAAAAGACTGAAGTTTATGTAGTTCAGTTTGAAATTAAAATTAGAAAAGCATGACTTTGTGAAAGGAGTTTTAATTGTGCTTGTGTGACAGATTGAGTTATTTTACATGCAACACCAGCTTTTGACTGTATTTCTTTCATGGTTTGTGAATCATTTTTGAATTGTGTTCGTAATAATCTTGCAGTATGAAATGAGGTTGTTAATGTAGAAACTGAATCTTACTTTTACTGCAGTTTAAATAAATGTATAGACTAGGTATAGTCCTGGGTTATGATGAAAGTGCTGTGAATTTGGGGGTGGGAGGGGAGAGTAAGGGTTGAGAAGATAACAGCAGAGGCCAGTGGATCTAAAATACTTATTAAATTCTCCAGCTCTATGTGTCAGTTAATTCTTCCTTACAAAAAGAAAACCAAACCCCCCCAAAACCAAACAAACCAAAAAACTACAACAAACCCACAGCAAAAAATTGTTGGGTTTTAGGGTAATCATTTCTTAATTGACTTCTAGAGAAGATTCACAGGCTTGTAGGACTTGATTAAGAAAATTGTCTAACCTGAGAACTTTAGCAGGTATCAACAGGTGAAATAATATGTAACAAGACTTGCAATGTTTTTTTCCTCCATAAAATTGTGATACAAATCCAAGTGCAGTTATAATTTTTTTTTTTTTTTCTAGCCAGCAGTAGAGATAGCTGTAACAGTATATACTCCCTAGCAAGCAGCAGTTATGCTCAGGTACACTTAAAAAGTTCCCCCTGACCCCCAAAGCCAAGGGCTTGTGCAGCAGAGTCTGGAGAATGGATAAAACTATTTGAAAAGTATCGTTGGCTCGGTTTTCTCACCCATAGGGTTTAACTTGCACTATAAAGCTAAAGTTACAGATTAAGAACTATTGGGGGTCTTCTGACATGAAAATTAGTAACATGTGGTTTATTTTTTCTGAAGCCTGCACATTCTAAAATCACTGGCTGTAAGGACTGATGCACTTACGGCACAGGAATTTGTAACTCTCTGTTCTTTTTTTATGGGAACATAACTCAATAATTCAAATTTTGAATTACTTTTTTTTCCCTCTTGTTCTCTCTCCCTATCCACCAAATCAATAACAATTCTAGAATTTAATTAAGATATCGCAGTTATTCATTTTTCCAAACTGAGTAGTTTAGAATGGTGGGGATTAGATCTGAAATGGTTAATCATAGGAAATACACAATTCCGTCTTCACCAGCACCTTATAGAGATTCAGTGTTCTTCCATAAAGTCTGTATCCAAAAGTTTACCATTCATCTGTAGATCAGCTACTGCTATGTCTTTGAGGGGGAAAAATCCAAAATATGACTTCTGCAAAGTCTTGATTATTTTAGCATCAACAGATGCACTCGCTTACAGACCCAGTCTTGGAGAAGGTTAAGGTTGTGTTCACTTTGAGCTACAGTGAGAATGGTCCAGATAATGTTTGCAGATCCATATGTCTATCTACCAGAGGCTGTGTTTTTATTTCTAAAATCTGCTTTAGAGCACCTTCTGAAGAAAAGAGAAAGTTTTAATTACTTAGGCTGTATATGGAGCTCCATCCTAAGTCAGCAGCTTACAGTGTTGGCACCTTTTATTGTTGCCTGCCTTCCTTTTCTCCCCTTCCCTGGGAAAAATGGGACGACTGACAAGTAATCACCCCGTTTTTTGTATTCCCCTTTAAACAGAATAATCTTCTTTAATTAATCTCAGAAATTCATAGAATTCTTGGCAAGAAAATCTTGATAACGATCAAGTTTTTGTCTGTATATAGTCTTTTTATCAAGCTTTTAATTAAAAGTTCCTATTTACTATTACTTTGCAGTTTGTGAACTGCTGACTTATTAAATCATCCATCTATTACAAGAGGGGGGATTAAACTCTGTAACACATACTAGCTTTTTAACAAAGGAGTGTTTCGGGCTTAGATACATTCCAGAACTTTGTAACATGTTTAATGTGGAATCCACCAATAAGGAAGTATTTGTATCAAATAAGTAAATTATGGTAAATAAATAACTATTGTATTTTATTACTCTTAGAATCTTGAATAAGCTCCAGATCATTAAAACCTTACCTTTTTGATTGATTATCTGCAGCGCATAATTTTGTATTGAGTAAAGAATTGAGTTTTGAAAATACTTGCACTTTCAGGAAGTTGATTTTTTTTTTTCCCCCCTCCTCTTCTTCCTCTTCTTTAGACTTAAAACAGGCTTGTTTATGATTTTGAATGTAAATAGACTTAATCAATTTATACTAAGAACCATGAGGGCTCTAACCCCCTTGCTTTAGCGATGGGGCACGTACCAGTGGAACGGTGGGAAAAGACTCCCTGCTGCAGGCAGTCACAGAGAAGGATAATGTGTAATTTTGAATTAAAGACACCAGAAACAGAACCTGTATTACAAGGTGATAATTCTCTTGCATCACATTTTAAAAAAAATCTTACTCTTTTATAAGAAGGAAGTACTTCGGATGGTTAATTATTATATCTGTACTTCTAAACAGAAAGTGGGAGATGGTTTATGGAAATTTGGTTTTAACTCTTAAAATCTGATGGTGTTTGTCAAATACATGGTTTTGAAAGATTGTATTTGTCTGACTGTTAATGTGTCCTGAAGTATTGCTAATATTTTTCTTGTTTTTCTGCTTTGCATATTTGGACTGTCTTCCTGGGCACGTATTTCTGATGAATCTACCTTGACCCAGTTCACACGATTCCTCTGTGATTCTCCTCTGGAGGTATGCATTTGTTCGACATGCTGGTTTTGAAATGAATGTATTCTTTCCTCTTCACTCTCTGGAGAGAGCTAACCCTTATGGTATAGGTGGTATAGATGGGTGTCACAATATTTGTATCATCACCGACTGGTAAGGAAGACAACGCTGCGTTTTCAAAGGAGTCTGACGACTCCTCCACTGGATGATAAGCTACCACTGAATTTCATATCACTGCATTAAGAAACAGTAGCAGAAAGTGCTGTGTCTTTTCTGTTCTTGATGTATTTCTATGAAAGGAAAAAAATGTATTCCTAAATAACTTACTGAACTGGTATATCACTACAATCCGAGTTAAAAGTTTAGGAGAGATGCTGTTGCTTCATTTCAAGTAACTGAACTGCTGCGGATTTCTTGCAGTGTCTTTCTTGTTAGTCTTAAAGAGTTAAGTACCGCGTGACTGTAATGAAATTGTCAGGTTATAGTAATTACGCTAGTAATTTGATATGTCGCCGTTTGAATGAATCCATGTGTGGAGAGTTTGTTGCTGTTCTCTGCTGAGTCCACTGGCCTCTACATTCCTGAAAGCTGAAGAGTAATAGAGCTCATTAGACTTTATAGGAAAAGGGCTTTTATCACCTCGTCAACTCAGGCAGCAGACTGCCATTATATTCTTAATTTTGTATGGCTACGTATATGTTGATGCACACTTCCCTGCCAGGTTTATACCAGTATTGTTTCTTACAGACACTTTTTATTGACATTTCGAAGCTTGAATTAAATTTTGTGTGGCACCACTACAGATGTCTTCAATTAGATGAAGTTAAATAAAAGGGGTTGTATATCAGAGGCCAAGGCATTCTTGAAATTCTTTATTCTGAAACAGTTGCCACAAGCAAATCTACTAGTATGTAGTCTGTTTACTCTTCTGAACAAAAATAATTTAAAATCAAATTTAAATCTTACATGATTTCAATTTGTAATTTTTTTAATATTTAATATTGTTATCAGCTGCAAATAATATGAACACCCAAACTCTTCCTGTCTCTTTTTTTATTTCTTCATTTTATTATTCTGTTTTGTTTCAGTTTTGGCTATGGGCTCTGGCACAAAAAATGAATAGTTTAAAAAATGATATGGTCTATAGTAGCAGAAAACTAGGCAATTTTCTAGCAGTGAACAGGATAATGTAGAGAGAACTGTTTGAGGTTTTTTATTGATCTTTTTGTCTGAGAAGCTGCATTTAAACGTTTGCCTTTTTACCACTTCACATGTGCAAATACTACCGTGTTTGGAGAGGTATGGTTGTAATGGTTTGGTATAGGAGAACTGCATGGAGGAGTCTTAACCAAAGACTGGTGTGGCCTGGTACCATGCTGCTGCCGAAGTGGGAGTGTTTATGGAAGGGCACAGGGAAAATCTGAACTGCTGAGGGTGGTTTCCTAGGTTTTGGTGCTCAGAGAGTGAGGGGGGTGTGCTGGGCCAGTGGTTGTATGGGCATCATTAGTAGTCATCTCTGCGTTTGTCCTTCCCGAGTTGTTCCATGTCGTCTTGATACAACAGTTGGAACGAGCCTCGGTACTCTGATGCGCCGTGGCATTATGCAGTCAAATGATGGTTTTCTTTGGGCTTTTTTTGATTTCAAATCCTTCTCTAATTGCTCTTTAGTCTTTTTCTATTTTGACTGATGCTGAGCATTAAATCAACAACTTCATAAAACTGCTCTCAAAAGCATCTTTTTGAGTGAATTGCTAATTTATACCCATTGTTTTAGATGTGTGTATATAGCAGTATTTTTTCCCCATGCATTTATGTTCCATGTGTTTATGAACATTTGATGTTTCCTCTGCCTTTTTAATCACTCAGTATTATGGGATCTTTCTGTAGTTGTTTACACTCAGCTCTTGTTTAACGCTCCTGAATTATCATCTCAGTTTGCTGCAACATTGTTCAGTCTTCAGTGATTGACGTACCAGTATGGAGAACAGAATCAATCCAGCACGATAGAGTGAGCTGTTTTCCATTATGTAAATGACCATTTGCTCTCACTTTGCTTTTACCCATATTGAGATGCTTTTGAATCCTAAAGAACTGAAAGGCATTTTTGAATCTCAGTCCTTGCTCTTCGAAAAGCACATCAGCTTCTGCTCCACTTTATTTTGCTTATTGATATGTGTTAATTTTTAGGAGATGTAGTAACAAATGATACGGTTACAGGTCTGTAATTCCCAGGATCATCTTCTGTAGAATGTTGTATTTTAGTCACATTCGATGCACTGCTCAGGACTAAATCAAAACTCACTTCATTTAGTGAGCAAATTGCTTTTTTCCTTACAGTGGTGTAGACATCACCATGATGTCTCTTGCTTGAAGTCCCTTGTACCTTCACAGCTTCACTAATCTTTTTAGCATTTTAAGCTTACTATCACTGTCCTGATTAAATAGTTGACAGTATAGCCCAAACACTATACTTTTCCAATAAGGTACAGAAGTTAGCGCTGTAGACAGTGTCTTACATTTTGATGCAGTGAGTTGATTTGCTTTTGTTTTCATACGGAATCCCAGAATTGTTCAGGTTGGAAGGGACCTCTTGAGAACACCCCGTCCAACGCCCCCTGCTCAAGCAGGGTCAGCTAGAGCAGGTTGTGCAGGACGGCGGGTTTTGAATATCTCCAAGGATGGAGACTCCGCAGGCCCTCTGGCTAGCCTGTGCCATTGTTTGACCACCTTCTTAGTTAAAACCTGTTTCCTTCTGTTCAGATTGAATTTCGTGCGTTTTAATTTGCACGCGTTGCCTCTTGTCCTGTCAGTGGTAACTACTGAGAAGAATCTGGCTCCCTTATCTTCATTCCCTCCCATCAGGTATTTCTACATACTGATAAAACCTGCCCCCCACGTCGTCTGTTCTCAAGGCTGAAGAGTCCCAGCTTTCTCAAGCTCTCCTTATACCTCAGATGCTCGAGCCCCTTAATCATCTTTACGGCCCTTATGGACTCGCCCCAGTAAGTTCTTATTTTTCTTGCACTGGGGAGCCCAGCACTGGAGCCAGCGCTGCTGATGCAGCCTCAGCAGTGCTGAGCAGAGGGGAAAGCTCGCCTCCCTCCACCCGCCGGCAGCGCTCTGCCTGGTGCAGCGCAGGGTGCTCTTGGCCTTTTTTGCTGCGAGGGTGCATTGCTGACTTTTTTTAATGAAAGCATGCAGTGCTACCTCTCTGCTGACACAGCCTGTATTTGTAGGCTGCTGTCACAGCATCTCCACTAATCCCGAATGAAAGGAGGACGTAGTAGTGAAAAGGAAATACGTTGCTAACCAAGAGATAGAAATCTACCGTATGGTAGGTGGTGTGTGTGCCTTTGGGAAAGGAACTGCTGGAATTAATCACTTCACTTCTTCGGCAAATAATTTCCACTGGAGTGTAGAAGTCAAGGGTTTCCTGGCTTTTTTTTTTTTTTCCCCTCTGTGTAAGGGATAGCATGGATTTCATGTCTTCCTCCTCCCTTGATCCACAGCAGAAGGTAAAATGGAAAAGTTCAAAATAGGAAATTTCATTAAACCTTCCAGAGAAAAAATAATCATGCTGTTAGTATGGTCAGGACCCATTTTCAGTAGGTGAGTATGCCGTGCCTCCTGCAGTTACACACTGGTCTGGCAGGCGGGTTAACAAATGCAATTTCCATAATGATAATAATAATACTAATACTAATAATACTAATACTACTACTACTACTAAAGTCGTGAAATGTCTCTTAAAAGTAAAGAGAAAGACCAATGTGCTTTGAAGAAAATTGAGTGCTCTCACCATCATTGAAGTTCAATTATAAGCAGTTATTACATTGAGGTGTACTGATTGAGGCAATATGTAATAACAGTTGCTATTAAATATTTAAATTTTACTAACGTGTTATAAAATATGAGCAATCAAATGTGTTCATGGAATCATTAGCTAGCAGAATATGAAGACAGGTAGAATTAACGTGTGATGGAATATATTGTATTTTTCTCTGCCTTATAGTCTAAACATTGGAGAGAAAATTATTTGTTTTAATTTTTGTCTTGGATTTAGTAGTTCTTTTTTTTGATTGTTTCAATATCATCAGATTATTATAAATTCATTGTATTGAAGTTGAGTATAAATTGTTAACTTTAAATAAGTTGGTCCCTCTGGATTGATTCCAGGGTGTTATTTTGGGTAGATAAGGTAAGCTCTCTCTGGTGGGGCTTGCTCACCTGATGTCACTGGTATATTTTACATCACCTTTGACAAACATGGTCCCAGGTGGACATGGGAGTAGTGTGAAATGGTATAACCTGCTTCAAGAAAATGTTTAATATTCTAGACCTGCCTCACGTCAAATTGCCTGGATGGTACATGAGAAATTAGGTTAAAGGAGCCAAGTATTCATTGAGAAGTTGGGGAAAATATAATACCTACACGCATTACAAAGGATTACATTGTATGAAAACTTTTCAAGGAGGAGGAAAACGTTACTCTCTTTAAAAATGTTATTTACTTAATGTAATGGAAATCCCTGAACATTTTGCCTGAAGTCAGTGCTGTGCTTATTACGTTTGTTGCAGAACATAGCCTCTTTTATGCTCATGACATTTCATTGTAATTACATTAGTGAAATAACTGTAGTTTATAATTTACTAGAAGTTCTTAACTGATGCTAATACTTCAGTTTGCAGAGGTCTGGTGGCTGAATGAACCTATGCGATGCCATTTGGAGATTTGGGGTCATGGACAGACAAAGCGTTCGTTTAACTTCAGAAGACTTTGCTTTGAATGAAAATCTTTTCCATGTTGGCTTAGACTATCTTTTTCAACATTCATTCAATCCTGTATGATGAGTTTTTGACAAAGAAAGAAAATCTGTTTGAACCGAAACTTATTTAAGCAAGTCTGTGTTATATTACCAATCACGTTTCTCCTTGGCTTGCAGGAGATATTTCATTTTTTCTGTCACTGGCTGCTCCCTGGTAGCTGAGAGGAGAACTTAACCTGCGCTGAGTAATCCTTTGAGAAAATCTCTTACTTGACTGTGTCCCAGCTTAAAAGTTTTGCTACTGACCATGTGATTTCATTTGGCTTTACTGAAAAGTTGAGGATATTGTATGAAACCGTAACGTTGCATAAGTAGGCTTTACCTGAATGAGAGGAAACCCAGTTTAATGTGCTAGTATCCGCATCTAATATCCTCGTATACTGCAGGTTGAGCTCTCAAACGTTGGATCGTTTTACTTTACAGTATCTGTAGCTCCAAATCTAGTTTTATGCTATAAAACCATATGAAAATGCAAACATTTTATTATATGGCCTTTATTTTGGGACTTACTGGTTGGGTAAGTCAGTTGAAATGATTTTTGTTCACGTGATTGATTTCTTTTGACACATGTGGTACCAATTAGAATAACTTCTACTGCCCATCATCTCTTCAGTCTGCGCTACTGTATCAAAATACTTGATTAAACCCACCTTCTGTTGTTGTAATGCAAAACAGTTGGTAATAGTAGGCAATATTGTCAGATTTATTGAGTGAGAAGCAGCTTTCAGAAGATCTGGCAATGCAGTGAAAAACATGACTAGATGGATAATTAAATTGAGCACAGTGGAATTCAGGATTAAAGTAAACTTGACGTGGGAGAAAATCGCATGCCAAAGTTGGTTGTGTAATACAGTTTAAATTAGGAGATCATTTTCTTCTTAATTTGAAGCATCAGTTTCTGGCTCTAGGTGCTTTACCCCGTCCGGAGGCATATTTCACTGCGCATCCAAAACCACAGTACCCAATACTAGCGAGTTCCTTGGTGTTTTTGCTGAAGATACTCTGATGTGAGCTGACAAAGAAGCAGCTCCACAGTTTCTGTTGCAACAGTTTCAGGTTCTTAGAGAAAAGTTGTTTCGTTGGTCATAAAGAGTAAATCCCACGTGAAGAGTAAGGTGTTCACTTTTTATAAATGTTCTTCTCAAGCAACTTTAATGGCCACTCTGAGAAACTGCATTTCTGTGGCCAAAGTGCTTCCAGTACTTGGGGGCGCAGGGGAGGGAAACAGTAGGGTCACTGCTGTGACACACCATGTTGGAGGAATTAGGCAGTCCAGCCAGCTTTGGGAAACTCCAGCATAGTGTAATGTAATGTCTGCATTTCACCTTCCTGCCTTTCGGCTTCGTCTCCTGTTGAAAAGTAGGTCAAAAAAAAGAATATCTGCAGAATTTGCTTGCATGTAATAATGCATTAATAGCTTGAAGAATCACATTGTTGTTTTATCATTTCAGTAGTATAAATGCTAGATGGCAGAGGCAGTTTGCAGATTTGTGTTTGGCATGGGTGATATGTAGACGTTACTGATCATGAGCACAATGAAGGTCTGGAATTATGCACTCAACAAACATTGTTTTCCCTACCACTCAAATTCCTTTCTTCCTTTTTCTAAACACGGATAGCAGGAGTAATTTGTCATAGTATTTGCTTTTGTCTTAAAATCCTTTCTAAAATTGTTTTTATGCTGAAAGTCTACCTGTCTGACAATTACACCCCTCTTTTGTTTTTGCTTAGGCAGAGAATGCACCAAATGGACCGGAATGTGGTTATGGTTCTTTCCACCAGCAGTATTGGCTGGATGGGAAGATAATTGCTGTTGGCGTAATTGATATCCTGCCCTACTGTGTGTCCTCCGTCTATCTGTACTACGATCCAGACTATTCTTTCTTATCTTTGGGAGTCTACTCTGCATTACGGTAAGAGGACATTTTTGTTATCTTGTTAGGCATAATAGTAAGAATTGATACTTGTCCCTGAACTTGAGCTTTTATTTCCAGTCTAAACATATACTGGTAACACTCTCTCTAGCACAGTGTTTGTGTGGGGTTTTGGTGGTGGGTTTTGTTGTTTGTTTTTTTTTTTTTTGTTTGGTTGGGTTTTTAATTCTCTACAGTTAGTTGCATTCCAAATAAATTTTTAATTGTCATCCTTGAATAGGAATATATCTTTCTAGTTAGCTAAATACTTTTAAAGATAAAAAAAACACTCAGAAATGAAATACCTAGTTCTTATTGCCCCTGAAAATAATTTAGTATTGCTTGGTTTC